TATGCTATGCCAAGTTGAAGCAGAGGGCTCAAGATCACCTTTTTAGTTTCTGGGATAAGGACACAGGTTCAAAACTGTCCTCACTTTAAGAGGAGCAGTGTTTCCTCACCTTGTTGTTGCTGTTAGAGAGATTAACATAAGAACTAAGGTATGTGCTTTACCTGTTTTCTTTCTGGATGTTATTTGCACATGTGTAACTGTTCCCACRGACATCTAAGCAGGTGCCGTTTGCAATCATACCAGGGGTCTCATTTATAAAACAGTGCGTGGGATTCATATTAAAAGTGTACGTGTGCACAAAAGCCAGGGGCGTCTGTGGCTGAGGGGCAATCCTCCAACCAGAAGGTTGGCAGCTCAGTCCTCAGCCCTCCCCATCTGCATGCTGAAGTGTCCTTGGGCAAGATACCAAACCCCTAAATGGCCCCTCATAGATGACCACTCCACTTTACAATACAGTTCATTGCCATTCACCTATTCACACACACATTCATACAGTGCATCTATTGGACGCTCTTTTTTCTATAATAATTATATTTTTTTATAATTGAAACTTTATTGATCCCTCAAGGGGAAATTCTTTTTACACCCATTTTCATACATGCAGTTTAACCCACAATCCCACACCAAGGGCTCAAAGACATGCAAATTTGGAGAGAGATGGTAGAGTGATGGGCAGCCCCGCAGAAACGCCCTGTGAGCCATTGGGTGGTACGGTGCCTTGCTCAAGTGGTATTACAATACAAACAAGGTTAAACAAACTCAAAAGGTTTCATGAAGAAGGAAATAACTTTTATGCATGTTTTCTAAGCATCTAGGGTACACACAGTGAGTTTTTCTGAGAAATACAGATTAGAAACAACAAAAACTCCACAGGGTAGTCATGGAAATTGCATGTATAACTACCATAACACAAACAAGTAGCAGATGAGTAAATGATAAAGTACAACAAGAAGAGTATTCACTTACACAAGCAGTGTAAGAAAAGCTTGGACATTTTTTTTTTCATAGTTGCATAATGTTGCATAATAGCACAATGTTAGTACATCATACTGCTTTTGTATTGGCAGCCTTTCAAGAAATACTCAACATGTCAGTGAAAGGAGCWGATATCGGTGTCATCACTGTTTCATTCATCTCTGTTGTCTTGTGACAAACAGGGTCACTAACAGGATGCCACAGGACCAACAGCCGCTGTTGGGGACATAKAATTTGACAATTACACAGAGTTATTATCAAATTAATATATATACATGCTGTTCTGATAAAAATGTATGAAAAGTAAAGCAGAAGGAAAAAGTAGGCAGGATGTATTGGTGCTCTRACCTGTCTGAGGGAGCCCTTGGTGAGGCAGATCTTGCCAATAGCCCAGATGGGTATTACAATAATAGAGGAGAAGGCTATGGCCCAGCCCAGATAGTAGGCCCAGTCTGGATACACATAGTCTCCAATTGTCAGGGGCTGATAGTCCACAAAGGAGCAGATGAAGCAAACCTGAAGGAAAATACACCAAAATAACACCATGAAATCTACCAAAAGTTTAAAAGTAAATATTTTTTTTAATCTGTCAGATAATAATATTAAGAATAAGAATAGTGTGCATTTATATAGCACCTTTGAAGAGAGATCCAGAGGGTGGGTTGCTGTGACACAGAAGGCCCTGTCTCCAAAGGTTTGCAAGTGGTGTAGGGGACAGAGAGCAAACCTGTGTCTTAGGAGTGTAGGGGTGGAGGCGGTCGGGGGGTGTCAATGGGGCAGAGTAGGCGGCTAATGTTTGGTGGAATGGGCAGGGCATTGTTGGTGGTTGAACAGTCTGTATCTCCCCTGGACCAGCCCGCTTTGCTCCACTATCACTCCAGGAATCCATTTATTTCTTCCCCCAGGGTATTCCACAAATACACAGAATCAACCACAAAGAAAAATCTGTCAGATGCTCGCTGGTCATGGTGGAAACTTTGCAGGTACTGCTACTGATGAACAGTGACTGATGTATCTGGGCGGATAAAGTCCATGCAGGTACGCACATGTCTGTTCAGGAACATGTCAGCAGTTTTGAATGTTTGCACATACCTTTCTGCAAGGCCGTTAGTGACTAGGAGGCCAGGAGCGCATGTGGAATGAAGAATTCCCTTCTGCTGCATGAAGTCTTTGAACTCATCAGACTTAACTGTGTTCCATTGTCTGTGACAATATGCTCTGGAACACCATATCAACAGCAGATCCTCCAGGTAAACTACAACATAAAGATCTTTCATAAGGTTCTCATACTTCTTTGGAAGATGGAGATGTATACAAGCAGCCCTCTGTGCGTGTTGATAGCCAACAGCTTCTTTGACTCATCATCAAGAAGTATCTGCTGGTACGCTGGGGRGAGGTCATCTTTGAGAACACTGTCCCCCCACTTAGTGTGGCCATTAGCTCCACGCAAACGGCTGGTGCAGTCCTTCTTATCTGACAGGCACAACAGGTGCTGCCCACTCACTATGTTTGGCTGGTGTGATTATGTTGACCTTCTCCAGTCGGTCCAATTCAGCATCCACTCATACCTTTATGGCAAATGGCAGTGGGCGGTTTTTGCAAAATCTCAGGGTTCATCAAAATTGTTGCTTTGACATCACGCAGAGTGCCAAATTCATCTTTAAACACCTCAGAGTGCAGCTCAAGCACATCCTCTATAGATTTTACTTGAGACCTTCCGCTTACATGTTTTATTTTTTCCCAATTCAGAGTGAGCTTTTGTTTCTGCCACATAATGCTAGACCTGTCCTTTTAACCACAATCACAGGTAGGTGCTCTCTCTGCTCTTCATAGTTCACAMTGGCTTCAAACTGTCCTAACACAGGTATAACATCCCCTGTGTAAGTCTTCAGTATGACTTTAGCGACATCCAGTGGCTTTTCTGGGAACATGGCCTGGAACAGCTCTTCTGAAATTATGCTCACAGCAGCCCAAGTGTCAATTCCTGTTCAATTTCTTTGTCATTAACCACAAACTTTGCTCTGTATGATTCTTTACAATCTTTGTCTCTTACTAGTGGAACCACAATCTCTTCTGCCTCGACCTTGTGTTGTTCCCAGCCTGCCYTTCACTTTTGCTGTAGGCTGGAGCAGCAGCCACTTTTTCTTTGCAAGCTCRTTTAAWATGGCCCATTTTCCCARGCTGTGACACTTGGCGTCTTTCAAATGACATTTTAAAATGACAATCCTGTGCACCGTGATTTTAGCCGTTACATCTGTAACACTTCCTCCCTGCCTMGCCGGCCACATGTCCATGGCCTTTATGCACCTATCCCTGGCGTGCGTAATGTCTCCGAAGCTGCTGCATGTCTCTCTCTGCAGTCTCCATGCTTAACGCAATCTCAAACACCCATGCAAAAGTCAGGTTGGACTCAGACATTGACCGCCACTGGCATGCCTCATTGTGAATCCCACTCACTCTCGCAGCGCCTCGTCCAACATAGTTCCAAACTCACAGTTCACTGTGCACTGCTTGAGCTCAGCCTCATAGACTGTTACAGACTCCCCAGCCTTCTGGTTGCAATTGTTAAAGCGGAACCTTT